CAAATAATAATAATAAAAAAACATGAATCAAAACATTCATTCAGCATTAGCACGGCTGTCATGGCAATGTGAATGGAGACGGACAAACAATTGATAAAATAATTCCCTGTGTTTGCTGCTGGATTTGGTGTGAATCTGGCAACCTGAGTCAGGGAGAGTGGGAGAGGACTACAAAATATTGACTGTGACTGCAGTACCACTTTTGGCCAGATTTTTACATATTGTTCCTTTAATAGATTAACAAACCCCCCTGTTCAGCTTCCATTAGAGCTAACTTTCAAACATAAATGCAATGAGTTTGCACATTTTTTCAATGACAAGGTTCAAGGCATCAAAAACGCCATTGTCTCCAATCCACAGATAACCATCCAACAGCCAGAAAGGCTCTCTGAGCTAACTCACTTTGCACCTGTAGATGATAAAAATGTCCAAGAGATAATCTCCAGTCTGAGCTCCTCCACATGCAGCTTGGATGTACTACCCACTAGATTTCAGAATTCTGTTCTGAGCAGTCTGTTACCTTCACTCACACAGATAGTAAACATGTCCCTTCATTCTGGAATATTCCCAAAGGCCCTGAAAACTGCAGTCATCAGGCCCCTGCTAAAAAAGAGCAGTCTGGATGCCACTGTACTTAACAACTATCGTCCCATCTCAAATCTGCCATTTATGGGGAAAGTCCTTGAGAAAGTTGTCTACCTACAGCTTACTAGATTTCTTATAATCAACAACTCATTTGACATGTTTCAGTCCGGCTTTAGACCCCACCACAGCACTGAGACTGCTCTTGTCAAGGTTACAAACGATATCCGGCTAAACACTGACGCAGGCAAAGTCTCAATCTTAATCTTGTTAGATCTGAGTGCTGCCTTTGACACTGTCGACCATGAGATCCTCTTACAGAGACTAGAGGACTGGGTTGGCGTTGCTGGCACCGCCCTAAGTTGGTTTAGGTCTTACCTTGAAGACAGGAAGTACTTTGTGGAGATTGGAAACTGTGTCTCAGATCATATGGCCCTGACCTGTGGAGTACCACAGGGGTCGATCCTGGGACCTCTTCTGTTCAATCTCTACATGCTGCCGTTAGGTCAGTTAATACGCAGAAACAAAGTGTCCTATCACAACTATGCAGACGACACTCAGATCTATGTCTCACTGACTGCAGGAGAACATGGACCAGTGGACTCACTCCTTCACTGTATCCAACAGATCAGTGAGTGGATGCAAAACAACTTCCTTCAGCTAAACGCAGACAAAACTGAAATTATTGTCTTTGGTCCCCAGAAACAAAGAGAGAGCGTCATCTGTCACCTCCAGTCTCTCTCCCTAAAACCTTCAAACAAGGTCAGGAATCTAGGGGTAATACTGGACTCAGACACATCAAATCAGTAACATCAGCAGCTACTGCAATGGCCTGCTCACAGGTCTGTCCAAACAGGCTGTAAAACAGCTGCAGTACATTCAAAATGCAGCAGCTCGAGTCCTGACTAGAACCAGGAAGTACGACCAAATTAGTCCAGTTCTCAGGTCTCTGCACTGGCTTCCTGTGGCTCAGAGAATAGACTTTAAAACAGCTCTGCTTGTGTACAAGTCTCTCCATGGCCTCGCACCAAAATATATTAGTGACATGTTAGTCCCATATGAACCAGCCCGGACTCTGAGGAGCACAGGGACTGGACTCCTGTTAGTGCCCAGAGTCAGAACTAAACATGGGGAGGCTGCTTTTCAGATTCTAAAAGCTGCTAAAATCTGGAACAATCTTCCTGAAGATGTGAGACAGGCCTCCTCTCTGACAATGTTTAAAACCAGGTTAAAAACAGTTCTGTTTAGCTGTGCATACAACTGAGGGATTTTATAATTTTAGCTTTCTTTTTAATGTTCTGTGATTATTTATGATTTTAATGCTTTCTTGTTTTTTTCAGCACTTTGAATTGCCTTGTGTATGAATTGTGCTATACAAATAAACTTGCCTTGCCTTGCCTATACAGTCTGTGTTAGCATTGTCCATCTGTATACAGTCTGTGTTCCTCACTTTTGGCTCTAAATCTAAAATTTCCTGTGTGAGACGACACCGGTCACTGTTGTATTCAGAAAATTTGCGGATTTCCTCAGGATTTCAATCAAATCCTCAAAATATGTGAAACTCTCTGCTTCACTGTCAGACACGTGTTTGTGCCAGTCCCAATCCTGCCGCAGCAACATGATTTTATTTGACCTCGAGCTTTTCACAAAGTTAGTTTTATTGTTTTAAATCTAATTGCATTTTTGTATCGCTTTTCATCACAACAGGACTTTAAACACAATACAATACATTTTATTCTTGTATTTCCCTAAATCACAACAGCATCATCTCAGAGACTTAACAAAACCATTGAAATCACCAACACAGATCAGAGAATCAACAGTTAACACACATAAAGAATATAGAACACATGTTGATAAACGTCACACATGTTTATATATGTCACTGTTGTGGAAATCTAACTGGGATTATAAATCATTTTAACTTAAGAATGAATCTAATGATGAATTAGGATATCTGGGACAAAGTTCAAGCTACAGTAACTAATCTGTTGTTCTGTAGAGACGGCGAGGCCCATGTCGGGATAGAGGCAGATACTAGCTTGATATCGGGTCATACTGACCATTCTTCCTAATATCAGAGTAATATCAGAGTAAGACGTCAGAAGAGAGGGGGGTTTGGGCGACTGCTACCACTTAATCTCGGACTCAGAGACGCCATAGATAGACTCTTCTGTTGGTTCCATCCTATAAATATGAGAGAGAGTGAGCACTATTCGGCAGATCTACTCGAGACCTGCTCACGCGGTGACGGTTGTATTTCCTGTATATGTCACATTTACTGAGATAATAAACCACACTTTGATTGTTTACAGCTCTTTGTTGTTTATTTTATATGTAATTATTGTGTATTTCAGTCCTTAGATATTCCACAACATCACACATGTCAATAAATGTCACACATGTCAATAAATGTCACACATGTTGATAAATGTCACACATGTTGATAAATGTCACACATGTTGATAAATGTCACACATGTCAATACATGTCACATATGTCAATAAATGTCACACATGTCAATAAATGTCACACATGTTGATAAATGTCACACATGTTGATAAATGTCACACATGTTGATAAATGTCACACATGTCAATAAATGTCACATATGTCAATAAATGTCATAATTGTTGATAAATGTCACACATGTCAATAAATGACATACATGTCAATAAATGTCATACATGTAGAATGTTAAAGTGTCCTGGATCACCACATCATTTTTGTTGGACACTAACTGTCCAACAGACCCTCCTGCATCAGAGGAAAAACTCACAAAAACCCAGTGGGAAAAAAGTGAGAAACCTTGGGGAGACCCACATATTGGTCTGCTCCACACGGACGGACGGGCTGTATAGATCCAGGTCCTTTAAGCAGGTACTAGCCTTTTCAACTGATCCGTCTGATTTATGATAAACAGTGCTGACAGAGAGCAGAGAGAGACCAGAGAGAGAGACCAGAGAGAGAAACCAGAGAGAGAGACCAGAGAGAGACCAGAGAGAGAGACCAGAGGGAGACCAGAGAGAGAGACCAGAGAGAGACCAGAGAGAGACCAGAGAGAGAGACCAGAGAGAGAGCGGTGAGACCAGAGAGAGAGACTTGAGAGGGACCAGAGAGAGAGACACGAGAAAGACCAGAGAGAGAGACCAGAGAGAGAGACCAGAGAGAGACCAGAGAGAGAGACCAGAGAGAGACCAGAAAGAGAGACCAGAGAGAGAGACCAGAGAGAGAGACAAGAGAGAGAGTGGTGAGCCCAGAGAGAGAGACCAGAGAGAGACCAGAGAGAGAGCGGTGACACCAGAGAGAGAGACTTGAGAGAGACCAGAGAGAGAGCGGTGAGACCAGAGAGAGAGACGAGAGAGAGACGAGAGAGGGACCAGAGAGAGAGACACGAGAAAGACCAGAGACTAGGGAGAGAGAACCGAGAGGGACCAGCAATTTTTAATATAAAATAACTAATTGAAGTGAGACGCTGGAATCTCAGGTCTGTGCCTCAGGAAGAACTCACACTGGGTCAGGGCTCACTTTGATGTGTGTGTGTGTGTGTATATGTATGTATATGTATATGTATGTGTACGTGTGTGTGTGTATATATGTATGTATATGTATGTGTACGTGTGTGTGTGTGTGTATATGTGTGTACATGTATGTATATGTATGTGTACGTGTGTGTGTGTATGTATGTATGTGTACGTATGTGTGTGTGTGTGTGTATATGTATGTATATGTATGTGTGTGTGTGTGTGTGTGTGTATATGTATGTATATGTATGTGTGTGTGTGTGTGTTTGTATATGTATGTTTACGTGTCTGTGTGTGTGTGTGTGTATATGTGTGTATATGTATGTATATGTATGTGTACGTGTGTGCGTATATGTATGTATATGTACAGTATGTGTGTGTGTGTGTGTATATTTTCACAAGTATAAATATGTGTTCATATGTGTATCAACTACCACAGATTGGTGAACAGTTGTTGACCACCTCCAGAGGTTCATTCTGTAGAAATATACGACTACAAATAAATTGTTTCTATTGGTTAATTTATTCACCAGGCATGTCCAAACTAAGGCCCGGGGGCCAAATGCTGCCCTCTGTGTCATTTTATACGGCCCTTGCTAACCCAAAAGTAATCATCATGAAAACAAGTTCACAGAGCTCTGTGTGCGTGTCTGTGCGTGTGCGTGTGTGTGTGTGTGTGTGTGTGTGCGTATGTGTGTGTGTGTGTGTGTGCGTGTGTATGTGTGTGTGTGTGTGTGTGCGTGTGTGTGTGCGTGTCTGTGCGTGTGCGTGTGTGTGTGTGTGCGTGTGTGTGTGTGTGTGTGCGTGTGTGCGTATGATTGTGTGTGTACGTGCGTGTGTGTGTGTGTGTGTGTATGTGCGTGTGTGTGTGTGTGCGTGTGTGTGTGTGTACAGTTATGGACCGTGGCTTCTATCGCTCGGTGGACGTCCAGGACCAGGCTCACTACATCGTGGCGTTCTTCGTCTTTGTCATTGGAACAGTCGGCGTCACCGGCAACGCTCTGGTTATGTACGCGTGTGCTTGGTAAGATTTACACACACACACACACACATACACGTTTTTGTTACCTGGTGGGTCCCTTTGACAGGGCCGTTCAGAATGGGACCCATAGACATAATCTTTTTTTACCAAGACTTTAAGTAATACAAAACAGTCAATAGAAACCAAACAACTATTTTAAAGGAATTTTATTTTAGATTTTGTTTTCGAATTGCAGTGATTTTATTTTTGACATAGAATTTAATGCCACTCCATGTCCGATGTCTAAGGTCATCTGGTGAGGCATTAATGCAGGCCAGGCAGTGAGACTTCCCAGGGACCTTTCCAGTCTGTATGAAAGGTGTCATGGTCTTCTCCACAGCCTTCACCTCAGATGCAGACCATGGCTTTCTTACACGTTCTAGGGAGAGAAATAAAAATATATTAGCAATATACACTCCCAGGGTGAGGACCAAGCAGCCTGGCTGTAATCCCCCACCTGGTACACTTACCAGAAGGGGCACTGCCACTACCATGGGGTGCATCTGGATGAATGGTTGAAGGTTCTCCGCTTGAGTTTCTTTTAGCCCGTCCGTTTGTGAGAGGATCTCTACTGCTCTCCCTGTCGCACAGAAAATAAAAATACAAGTGGCCTTTAGGGGGAAAAAAATCATACATATTTTAATAATATCAAGAATTACCTTCAGGCTCAATTTGTATCTGGTCGAGGCTCTTTCCTTCGAATTCCGTCACTCTTCCCTGCTCCATGGCCATCAACACTTTGCTGATTTTGGCCAGCTCCAGTGTCCCCTCTGGTAGTCTGTAATATTGCCTGTGGATGCGAATGTCATGGCCGAGGAAGTTGGCAAGTATGTCCATCTCATTCTCTTTCATATTGAGAACTGTAGACATAGTAGCTATGTGCTTTCTAAGTTTGGTTGAGGATAGCATCTCTGGATGCACCGCACCACATTCTTTGGCTACCTGGCGTAGGGAGTCTGATCCCCTGATGTGGGTGTCTGCGCCCGGGCGGGAAAAGAAGTATGGGTTATGGTCAGAGATGGAACAGGCCCTTCTGTTCTCCACCAGCACCTCCATCGAAGCAATCATTTCAGGAGTCAAAAGAACCGGCACTTTCCGACTTCTTTTCCCTTTAATTTCAATGCGTTGAAAATGCTGACACAGCTTTTTCTCAAGTTGGGACAGTCCCAGAGCAATGTCAGAATGGATCCCAGTCTTACTTCTTAAGGTAAAGGCTGTCAGTGGCATCTTTGAAACCTCACCTTCCCTTCTTCGATTGAAAATGATGACCTCACAAAGAGTCAAAACTGCCAGTTTAGACCAATGCTTAGACGTTGGCTCACTTATTAGGGTTTGCACATATTCAGGTCGACATACCTCAATATGTGCATGCATGGCTCTAACGTCCTCAGTCAGAGGGAGCAGGTCCGGAGTGTTCCACTTGGCTTGCCGGAGGGTCTGTAGGGCAGCAGAAGAAACACAGACGTCCCACCTCTTCTCAAAAAGCAGCCGGCTTCGTTGGAGGTTTTTAATAAATAGTTCATCAACACAATGCTCCATTTTTGAGTCACATTCAAGAATATCTGCTAGCTTTCTGAGGCTATGGCCGAGTTTGAGGGCCAAGGATGGAGTCTTGTATTGATTTGTTTCCTCATCATATCCAGCCACAGACCTGACTGCATCAATCACATGGTTAAAGTTGGAAGGAATAAAGAAATCCTTAATTGTTTTCAGTTTCCCTGCGGTTTTTGCTTCGTTAATTAACCTACCGACTTCTCTCATTTTCTGCCTAATGTAATCATGCTTTGTCTTATCATGCCCGTGTTTTAAGTACAGGTGCTCTCCGAGTCTCAGAATCCCCTTTTCTGCTTTGACAACACCCGTGACCTCATCCTGATGCATTGCCGAAATTAAAGACCACAGCTTTTTGCTGATGCCCTCCGGTACAGGCTGGGCTAGGGAGCAGAGGGACTGGACCCTACTTCTACCTGGTTTAGCCTGGGCATCTTTCTGTGAAAGCCGGCACCTGGCCACATGCCTCCACAGCGACTTTCGCTTAAGCAATGCCCCACAGTCTATACAGTGCAAAAACTCACTGGATTTAACTGGGGAATTTGGCTGTTTAGCTGGGACTAAAGTTCCAATGCCGGCCTTTAAAACCTCAAAATTGTGCTCACGGTTTCCACTATTCCTGATCAAATCAAACTGAAGTTTACGTGCTTTAGATTTCACAGGTAGAGCCAATGCTCTGGCTACGTCACTTTCATTTCCATGTTTTCTAGTCAAATGACGGGACATTTTGTGGCAGGACATTGAACAGTAGAGGCAGAAGTGTCTCTTGCTGTATACTCGCCCCCCATTTTTCTTCTTTTGCAGCTGCATGATAACAATCTTATTTGCCTTTGGTTCGTCACTTTCCGAGTCTTGAAGAAAAGTGTTTTTGATTTTTCTTTTTCCATACTTTTTTACAGGTTTCTTCTTGACAGTTAAATCGTCAGAATCTGAGTCGACTTCATCAATTAGGGACTCTTGACTAAGCTGCACAAACAACAAATAATTTGTAATCATTCTATATAACAATTTGAAGTCATGACTTGTAGTCAGCACTTACCAGTGGTTTGTAAGCGTGCGCTTCAGTGTGCTCCTCCATGATTTCTTGCAGCCTAATGAACCACACACTTGCACCTTTTTCTAGCCTGACACCTGATTTCCTCTGTTGTGCTGCTCCATGATTGGCTCCAGCCTGCTGGACTGAAATTGCCCCAGTGTGCCCCTCCTTGATATCCCGCAACCCACCACCAGGGTTCCGACACATAACACACTTTTTTCAGGAAAGTAAACCTCCAGGGGTCCTTTCCATATTTTTACAGAGACTGCATAAGGACCGTTAGAAAAGCATTACCCATTGATTATTAAGCTTGGACCAGTGGGGTCCGGTGTTCGGGCCCCACCACGTAAAACCAGTCCCCATGACGTGAGTGGAATCTCAGGTTATGGAACCCACCAGGAGTTGAAAACAAGTGCACACACACACACACACACACACACACACACACACACACACACACACACACACACACACACACACACACACACACACACACACACACACACACACACACACACACACACACACACGCACACACACAGACACACACACGCACACACACACACACACACACACACACACACTGAGGCTGTAGACCCAGGATTGAGGGAAATAACACATTCATCTCAACCTGAACAAAGGATGTAGCTGTGCATTTGTCACGAGGGGAAGAGTCTTGAGTCAATACCAGGAAAATACAGATTTATCAACTTCACAGAATCAGAGGTTTATTCAACAGTTCAATTACAGAGATCTGAGAGACCAGAGAGAGAGAGAGATCCGAGATAGACCAGAGAGAGACCAGAGAGAGAGACCAGAGAGAGAGGCCAGAAAGAAAGCAGAGAGAGAGAAACCAGAGAGAGAGACCCGAGAAAGAGACCAATAGAGAGATATCAGAGAACGAGAGAACAGAGAGACAGATCAGAGAGAGACCAACGAGAGGCTAGAGAGAAAGACCAGAGAGAGAGACCAGAGAAGGAGAGAGACCAGATTGAAATACAGTGTCTCTCTCCTCACAGAGTGATTATTTTTGAAGGTAAATGGTCAAAGTCCTGGAGCGTTTCTCTCGGACAGAGTTTGTTGGTGTTCGGACAATACTCTCTGTGCTTGGGGACGACACCAGTGAAGAACCAAGTGAGACCCGAGGGGGAGTTTAGTCTCAAACATGTTTCCTGCATTAGGCCTGTCCTCCTGTGACTAACACGAGCAACTCAGAGTTCACTCAGATCACACTGTACACTCTGGAGAAACAAAGAGAGAGACCAGAGAGAGACTAGAGCGAGAGACTAGAGCGAGAGACCAGACAGAGAGACCAGAGAGAGGGACCAGAGAGAGAGACCAGAGAGAGAGACCAGAGAGAGAGACCAGAGAGAGGGACCAGAGAGAGAGACCAGAGAGAGAGACCAGAGAGAGGGACCAGAGAGAGAGACCAGAGAGAGAGACCAGAGAGAGAGACCAGAGAGAGGGACCAGAGAGAGAGACCAGAGAGAGAGACCAGAGAGAGGGACCAGAGAGAGAGACCAGAGAGAGAGACCAGAGAGAGAGACCAGAGAGAGGGACCAGAGAGAGGGACCAGAGAGAGAGAGACTGGAGAGAGAGACCGGAGAGAGAAACCATATAGAGGCCAGGGAGAGGGACTAGAGAGAGATACCAGATACAACAGTCTGGTAGAGCTCTGACTGCAGACGCTCCTCCCTCTGCTCTACAACAGTCTGGTAGAGCTCTGACTGCAGACGCTCCTCCCTCTGCTCTACAACAGTCTGATAGAGCTCTGACTGCAGACGCTCCTCCCTCTGCTCTACAACAGTCTGATAGAGCTCTGACTGCAGACGCTCCTCCCTCTGCTCTACAACAGTCTGATAGAGCTCTGACTGCAGACGCTGTAACAAATGTAAATATAATTATAATAATAAATTATTATTATTCATTTGTTTATTTGAGAAAACAGACATCTGTCATACAGTAGTCTGATCCTGGTGCCACAGCCTAGGAAGGTCCAAACTTAGGCTTGGGGGCCAATTTCGGTCCTCATTGTAATTTTCTTTGGCCCTCTGGATTTCTAACTCAAAGTAGTCTTTGGGATCATAAGAACAATTTCACTGTGTCATCCATCCAACTTCAGCTCAGCCATGATAGACATGTCGTTCTAAAGCACAGTACGTGGTTCTTGATTGTGTGACAAACTTCTGTTAACGGTGCTGCTGGAGCTGGTGAGATGGTAAACAACAACAACACATTCTAAAGCTCAGAACAGCGCAGTGCCGTCAGGACAGTTTTCCATCCGTGATACCGGCCACTGGTGACCTCAGGTGGCCCTCCTGCTAAAATGTTTGGACACCCCTGCTTAGCCAAAGCTAATTCGCAGCCAACACCAAAATGATAATAATAATCTCGATTTGCTTTATGGGTCACGTCCTTGTTACATTAAAGCAAAAGCAGTTATTATAATTACAATATTATCTGGTTGACGTAGTGTTTAAAGTTTTAGGAAAATGTATTAGAAGTGGATTTATACTTGAGATTCTCTCTGAGCTTGAGACCAGAGAGAGAGAGACACAAGAAAGACTAGAGAGAGAGAGAGACACGAGAAAAACTGGAGAGAGAGAGAGACACGAGAAAGACTGGAGAGAGAGAGAGACACAAGAAAGACTGGAGAGAGAGAGACACGAGAAAGACTGGAGAGAGAGAGAGACACAAGAAAGACTGGAGAGAGAGAGACACGAGAAAGACTGGAGAGAGAGAGACACGAGAAAGACTGGAGAGAGAGAGAGACACGAGAAAGACTGGAGAGAGAGAGAGACACGAGAAAGACTGGAGAGAGAGAGACACGAGAAAGACTGGAGAGAGAGAGAGACACGAGAAAGACTGGAGAGAGAGAGAGACACAAGAAAGACTGGAGAGAGAGACACACAAGACAGACTGGAGAGAGAGAGAGACACGAGAAAGACTAGAGAGAGAGACCAGAGAGAAACACGAGAAAGACTGGAGAGAGAGAGACCAGAGAGAAACACGAGAAAGACTGGAGAGAGAGAGACCAGAGAGAGAGACACAAGAAAGACTGGAGAGAGAGAGACACGAGAAAGACTGGAGAGAGAGAGAGACACAAGAAAGACTGGAGAGAGAGAGACACGAAAAAGACTGGAGAGAGAGAGAGACACGAGAAAGACTGGAGAGAGAGAGAGACACACAAGAAAGACTGGAGAGAAAGAGAGACACAAGAAAGACTGGAGAGAGAGAGAGACACGAGAAAGACTGGAGAGAGAGAGACCAGAGAGAGAGACACAAGAAAGACTGGAGAGAGAGAGAGACACGGAAAGACTGGAGAGAGAGACCAGAGAGAGAGACATGAGAATGACTGGAGAGAGAGACCAGAGTGAGAGACACGAGAAAGACTGGAGAGAGAGACCAGAGTGAGAGACACGAGAAAGACTGGAGAGAGAGACCAGAGTGAGAGAGAGAGACACGAGAAGAGAGATAAGGAGGCTTTAACACTCTTTGTCCTAGTAAAAAAACTAGCTTTACGAGCTTGTGAGAGTCGACACATGTGGTTCTACTGTATGTTGCACATCCTGAGATTAACAGTTTTCCTTTCTCTCTTTCAGTAATAAAAAACTGAGGACACGACCGAACTACTTCATCATAAATCTGGCCGTCAGTGACTTCCTCATGGCCATCACTCAGTCTCCCATCTTCTTCATCAACTCGCTCTACAAAGGATGGATCTTTGGAGAAACTGGTATTTACCTGTTTCCTAAAACTCAACCGGATTTTAGAAATGTGTTAGAGACCAGGGGTGAGAGAGGAGAGGAGGGAGGCAGGTGAGAGAGGAGAGAGGACCAGAGAGAGGAGAGAAAAGAGAGATGAGGGAGGGAGAGGAAGGAGGGAGAGGTGAGAGAAGAGAGAGGACCAGAGAGAGGAGAGAGAGGGTAGGAGAGAGGTGAGAGAGGAGAGAGAGGGTAGGAGAGAGAGGAGAGAGGGGATAGGAGAGAGGTGAGAGAGGTGAGAGAGGATAGGAGAGAGGTGAGAGAGGTGAGAGAGGAGAGAGAGGGTAGGAGAGAGGTGAGAGAGGATAGGAGAGAGGTGAGAGAGGTGAGCGAGGAGAGAGAGGAGAGAGAGGGTATAGGAGAGAGGTGAGAGAGGATAGGAGAGAGGTGAGAGAGGAGAGAGAGGATAGGAGAGAGGTGAGAGAGGAGAGAGAGGATAGGAGAGAGGTGAGAGAGGAGAGAGAGGGTAGGAGAGAGGTGAGAGAGGAGAGAGAGGGTAGGAGAGAGGTGAGAGAGGAGAGAGAGGGTAGGAGAGAGGTGAGAGAGGAGGGAGAGGATATGAGAGAGGAGAGAGAGGGTAGGAGAGAGGTGAGAGAGGAGAGAGAGGGGTAGGAGAGAGGTGAGAGAGGAGAGAGAGGGTAGGAGAGAGGTGAGAGAGGAGGGAGAGGAAAGGAGAGAGGGTAGGAGAGAGGTGAGAGAGGATAGGAGAGAGGTGAGAGAGGTGAGAGAGGATAGGAGAGAGGTGAGAGAGGAGAGAGAGGATAGGAGAGAGGTGAGAGAGGAGAGAGAGGATAGAAGAGAGGTGAGAGAGGAGAGAGAGGATAGGAGAGAGGTGAGAGAGGAGAGAGAGGAGAGAGGGTAGGAGAGAGAGGTGAGAGAGGAGAGAGAGGATAGGAGAGAGGTGAGAGAGGAGAGAGGTGAGAGAGGAGAGAGAGGGTAGGAGAGAGGTGAGAGAGGAGAGAGGTGAGAGAGGATAGGAGAGAGGTGAGAGAGGAGAGAGAGGGTAGAAGAGAGGTGAGAGAGGAGAGAGAGGATAGGAGAGAGGTGAGAGAGGAGAGAGGTGAGAGAGGAGAGAGAGGGTAGGAGAGAGGTGAGAGAGGAGAGAGAGGATAGGAGAGAGGTGAGAGAGGAGAGAGAGGAGAGAGGTGAGAGAGGAGAGAGAGGGTAGGAGAGAGGTGAGAGAGGATAGGAGAGAGGTGAGAGAGGAGAGAGGTGAGAGAGGATAGGAGAGAGGTGAGAGAGGTGAGAGAGGATAGGAGAGAGGAGAGAGAGGATAGGAGAGAGGTGAGAGAGGAGAGAGAGGATAGGAGAGAGGTGAGAGAGGAGAGAGAGGATAGAAGAGAGGTGAGAGAGGAGAGAGAGGATAGGAGAGAGGTGAGAGAGGAGAGAGGTGAGAGAGGTGAGAGAGGGTAGGAGAGAGGTGAGAGAGGAGAGAGGTGAGAGAGGTGAGAGAGGAAAGAGAGGGTAGGAGAGAGGTGAGAGAGGAGAGAGGTGAGAGAGGAGAGAGAGGATAGGAGAGAGGTGAGAGAGGAGAGAGAGGAGAGAGGTGAGAGAGGAGAGAGAGGGTAGGAGAGAGGTGAGAGAGGAGAGAGGTGAGAGAGGATAGGAGAGAGGTGAGAGAGGATAGGAGAGAGGTGAGAGAGGAGAGAGAGGATAGGAGAGAGGTGAGAGAGGAGAGAGAGGATAGGAGAGAGGTGAGAGAGGTGAGAGAGGAGAGAGAGGATAGGAGAGAGGTGAGAGAGGAGAGAGAGGATAGGAGAGAGGTGAGAGAGGAGAGAGAGGGTAGGAGAGAGGTGAGAGAGGTGAGAGAGGAGAGAAAGAGGATAGGAAAGAGTAGAAAGAAATGAGAGAGAATAACTGGTGTTACATCCTTGTGGCCTGAACATTATTGCTGTGTAACTTCCTGTGTGTACTTGGCCATTCTCGCACCTGTGACTAATGGAAGGTTCTGGTGTTTCTGGTTCTGGTGTCTCTGGTTCTGGTGTTTGTGTGCAGGCTGTAAGATGTATGCCTTCTGTGGGGCCCTCTTTGGGATCACGTCTATGATCAACCTTCTTGCTATCTCTGTGGACCGCTACATCGTCATCACCAGACCTCTGCAGGCCATTCAGTGGGCCTCCAACACCCGCACCTGCTGCACCATCGCCCTGGTCTGGCTCTACTCCCTGGCCTGGAGTCTGGCCCCTCTGCTGGGCTGGAGTGAGTGTGATACTACTGCTACTGCTACTACTGCTGCTACTGCTGCTACTGCTTCTGCTACTGCTGCTACTGCTGCTGCTGCTTCTGCTACTGCTGCTGCTGCTACTGCTGCTGCTGCTTCTGCTACTGCTGATGCTACTACTGCTACTGCTACTACTGCTGCTACTGCTGCTGCTGCTTCTGCTACTGCTTCTGCTACTGCTGCTGCTACTGCTGCTGCTGCTTCTGCTACTGCTGATGCTACTACTGCTACTGCTGCTGCTACTGCTGCTACTGCTACTACTGCTGCTACTGCTGCTACTGCTTCTGCTACTGCTGCTGCTGCTGCTGCTGCTGCTTCTGCTACTGCTGCTGCTGCTACTGCTGCTGCTACTGCTGCTGCTGCTTCTGCTACTGCTGATGCTACTACTGCTACTGCTACTACTGCTGCTACTGCTGCTGCTGCTTCTGCTACTGCTTCTGCTACTGCTGCTGCTACTGCTGCTGCTGCTTCTGCTACTGCTGATGCTACTACTGCTACTGCTACTGCTGCTGCTACTGCTGCTACTGCTGATGCTACTACTGCTACTGCTACTACTGCTGCTACTGCTGCTACTGCTTCTGCTACTGCTGCTGCTACTGCTGCTGCTGCTTCTGCTACTGCTGCTGCTGCTACTGCTGCTACTGCTGCTGCTGCTTCTGCTACTGCTGATGCTACTACTGCTACTGCTACTACTGCTGCTACTGCTGCTGCTGCTTCTGCTACTGCTTCTGCTACTGCTGCTGCTACTGCTGCTGCTGCTTCTGCTACTGCTGATGCTACTACTGCTACTGCTACTGCTGCTGCTACTGCTGCTACTGCTGATGCTACTACTGCTACTGCTACTACTGCTGCTACTGCTGCTACTGCTTCTGCTACTGCTGCTGCTACTGCTGCTGCTGCTTCTGCTACTGCTGCTGCTGCTACTGCTGCTACTGCTGCTGCTGCTTCTGCTACTGCTGATGCTACTACTGCTACTGCTACTACTGCTGCTACTGCTGCTGCTGCTTCTGCTACTGCTTCTGCTACTGCTGCTGCTACTGCTGCTGCTGCTTCTGCTACTGCTGATGCTACTACTGCTACTGCTACTGCTGCTGCTACTGCTGCTACTGCTACTACTGCTGCTGCTGCTGCTGCTGCTTCTGCTACTGCTGCTACTACTACTGCTGCTGCTTCTGCTACTGCTGCTACTACTACTGTTGCTGCTGCTTCTGCTACTGCTGCTACTGCTGCTACTGCTACTACTGCTGCTGCTGCTTCTGCTACTACTGCTGCTACTGCTGCTGCTGCTGCTGCTACTGCTGCTACTGCTGCTACTGCTGCTACTGCTGATACTGCTGCTACTGCTGCTGCTACTGCTGCTGCTGCTACTGCTGCTGCTGCTGCTGCTGCTGCTGCTGCTACTGCTGCTGCTGCTACTAATTGTTGTGTTTAGACTTGAACAGAAAAAGCAGTTGTGTCTTGGTTGACACCAAATGAATCCTGTGATTCTGACGACAATGTTTTACATTTGTTGATGTGAGAGATTCTATCAGAGCTGACCCCAGCAGAGATTATAAAAGGAAGTCCCCCCTGGGTCTGGACCCTGGTGGTGGGAGCCAGAAAAGGGTGAGACCTGGTTCAGCTGTGGTACAGAGACTCATCTCTCTCCTCTCTCTCTGCTCCCTCTCCTCCCCCTTTCTCCTCTCTCTCCTCCTCCTCTCTGCTCTCTCTCCTCCTCTCTGCTCCCTCTTGTCCTCCCCCTCTCTCCTCCTCTCCTCCCGCTCTCCTCCCCTCTCTCTCCTCCTCCCTCTGCAGGCTCCTACATCCCCGAAGGGCTGATGACCTCCTGCACCTGGGACTATGTGACGGCGACTCCTGCGAACAAAAGCTACACTCTGATGTTGTGCTGCTTTGTCTTCTTCATTCCTCTGGGAATCATCTCCTACTGTTACCTCTGCATGTTCCTGGCCATCCGCCACGCCAGCAGGTACCTCCTCTCTCCTCTCCCCTTGTCTCTTTTCCTCTCTCTCCTGTCCTCCTCTATTTTCCCTTCTCTCCTCTCTCTCGTCATTCTCCTCTTTCCCCCTCTCGCCTCCTCTCCCCCTCTCTCCTCCCTCCTCTCCTCCCCCCTCTCCTCCCTCCTCTCTCCCCCTCCCCCTCCCCCCCCTCTCCCCTCTCTCCCCTCCGTCCCCCCCTCTCCCCCTCTCTCCTCCTCTCCCCCTCTCTCCCCTCCCCCCTCCCCCCCTCTCCCCTCTCCCCTCCCTCCTCCCCCCCCTCTCCCCTCTCTCCCCTCCGTCCCCCCCTCTCCCCCTCTCTCCCCTCCCCCCTCCTCTCTCCTAACCCTGTCTGTGCACAGGGAAGTGGAGCAGATGGGTTCTCAGATGAGGAGGTCGACCCTGCTGCAGCAGCAGTCCATCAGGACCGAGTGGAAACTCGCCAAGATCGCCTTCGTGGTCATCATCGTGTTTGTGTTGTCGTGGTCACCGTACGCCTGCGTCACCCTGATCGCCTGGGCGGGGTCAGAGTTCACTCTTTACTGCAGTCAGATCAAAGGATCAAAGCACGTTCTAGAGAGAAACTCTACTCTACTCTACTCTACTCTACTTTACTCTTCTCTGCCTGGTGGTGTTTCCATTACACTCTGGTACATACCTGCAACAAACCAGTATCCTGGGAAATTCCTTGGTAACCATGGCTTCCAGCAACACTCTGGCCTAGAGTAGAGTTATGGAGAGTAGAGTGTAGAGTAGAGTAGAGCAGAGTAGAGTGTAGAATACAGTAGAGTGTAGAGTACATTAGAGTAGAACATGTAAATCTCTTGGCTGTTTTTTAAACTTATATACTTTAGTTTTTTCCACAAACATAAACTTTGATGTCTTTCAGATACGGGGGGATTCTTGACCCTTATTCCAAAGCCGTTCCTGCGGTGATCGCCAAAGCCTCCGCCATTTACAACCCCTTCATCTACGCCATCATCCATCCTAAATACAGGTCCGTCCGCTTTATCTGTATAGCACACTATTGATTGTAGTGTTGATTGTATAGGAACACATACAATCAGCTACAGAACTGTTTTACCTGGGCTTCAACAGAACTGTCTCACATTTTCTGGAAGACTGTTCCCAAGTTTAGCTGCATGAATCTGATACCGGGCACCAGCAGGAGGCTAGTCCCTGTGCTCCTCAGAGTCCCAGCAGGAGGCTAGTCCCTGTGCTCCTCAGAGTCCCAGCAAGAGGCCAGTCTCTGCTCCTCAGAGTCTCAGCAAGAGGCCAGTCTCTGCTCCTCAGAGTCTCAGCAAGAGGCCAGTCCCTTTGCTCCTCAGAGTCTCAGCAAGAGGCCAGTCCCTGTGCTCCTCAGAGTCTCAGCAAGAGGCCAGTCCCTGTGCTCCTCAGAGTCTCAGCAAGAGGCCAGTCCCTGTGCTACTATGTTCTCAGTGTTGTACTTTGATGTCTCACAGGGACACTCTGGCAGAGAAGTTCCGATGTCTTCACTTCCTGAATCAAACGAAAAGGAAAAACAATCTGTCGGTTTCTCAGAGCGAGTCGTCCTTTAAAGAGTCCGGTCTGAGTCGACAGTCTTCAGGCTCCAGCAAGATCCAGAGAGAGACCTCCATGTCCACCACCGACACCGTGAGTTTTGACCATGTGTGGTGTTGTGTGGAAGCTACTGGTCTCCACATGGACTAGAGGCCACACGCGATACTGCAGCCTAAATACACAGAGATTGTAAGGAGCCAGAAAGAGAAAGAGAGATATCAGAGAGCAAACCAGAGAGAGAGACCAGAATGACAAGAGAGAGACCAGAGAGAGGAAGAGAGATAGAAACCAGGGAGGGAGAGAAAACAGAGAGACATCACAGAGACCAGAGAGAGAGAATCCAGAGAGTAAGACTATAAAGAGAACAGAGAGAGCGACCAGAGAGAGAGCGACCAGAGAGAGAGCGACCAGAGAGAGGAGAGCGACCAGAGAGAGAGCGACCAGAGAGAGAGCGACCAGAGAGAGAGCGACCAGAGAGAGAGCGACCAGAGAGAGACCCACCAGAGAGAGACCAGCAGAGAGCGACTAGAGATAGACCACAGAGCGACCACATTAGAGACCGGAGGGTGAGAGAGACCAGAGTGCAACCAGAGAGAGAGAGAGAGAGAGAGAGAGAGAGAGACTAAGGAGAGAAACCAGAGAGAGAGACCAGAGAGAAAGAGACTAGAGAGAGAGAGGCCAATTCCCGACGCCTTCATCAGAACGTAATGATATCTTTGAGACCCGGGACTTTTTAAATACAATACTAAATGTGAATAGTGAATAAATACTATATGAAATGATGTTCACATGGTTCTCTGGTCTTCACATGGTTCTCTGGTGTTCACATGGTCCTCTGGTCTTGGCTGCAGCAGGTGTTGAGCGACGTGGAGCTGGATCCTCTGGACAAAGGCCGCTGCCTCTCCCTGAGCTTCTCTCTCTGCTCTTTGACCGAGAGAGTCAACAAACCATCAGGAAACACAGACCAGAAGCACAGCGGGACCAGACACCAGGACTTAAGGTTTTTACAACAATTCCTTTTTATTTTTACATCATAAAGAGAGAAACCAGAGAGAAACCAGATAGTAAGTATAGTAAGTTTTTATTTATATACCGCCTTTTCACTGCAGATCTGAGTCTCAAAGCGGTTTACAATTGTTAATTTTTGGGCATTTGTCTCTCACTCCACACAGAGATGGGAGCGGAGTGGCCAGTACAGAAGGCACATGCCAGAACTATTGGACATATTTTTAGTGGTAGGGGAAACCGGAGTACCCGGAGGAAACCTACGCAGACACGGGGAGAACATGCAAACTCCACTCAGAAAGGCCCTGGTCCGACCGGGATTCGAACCCAGGACCTTCTTGCTGAGAGGCGAGAGTGCTATCCACTCAGCCACCGTGCCGCCCAGATAGAAAGGAACCAGAGAAAAAGAGGCAAGATAGAGAACAGAGCGGGAGATTAGAGATAGGCCAGAGAGAGACCAGAGTGAACCCAGAGAGAGAGAGACCAGAGTGGACCCAGAGAGAGAGACCAGAGAGAGAGAATAGAGAGAGACCAAAAAGAGAAATTGGGGAGAAAGAGAGAAAAGAGCAAGAGACCAGAGAGAGATACCAGAGAAAGAATGTGCATTGTTATTGAGTTATCATTTGTGCAGCAACCCTCCTCCTCCCCATCACCAGCTCTTCAACCCTTCTCTTAGCTCCCACCACTAGATGCTACTCTGCAGATTCTTATGCTCATTTGTCAACTGATATATATAAAATAAGACAATCAGATTACTATGGCAACCAATAAACACAATCAGATTACTTTGGCAACCACTACAAGTGTCATCTGCTCGAGTCCTTCCAGATTGGATGTTGTGATGTCGCATGAACACAGTGTAACAGTATTTTTCCATGTGTTTCCAGTTTACCGTCACACACGACGAGAGCTGTCTGAGACGAGTGGACTCTGTTCAGAACCTGCTGCTTCAAACTGAGCTGGACCCGGGAAGAAAACCCCAAAAAGAGACTAAACTCTGAGTCTGAGTCTGAGTCTGGGTCTGGGTATAGGTCTAGGTCTGAGTCTGAGTCTGAGTCTGAGTCTGAGTCTGAGTCTGAGTCTGAGTCTGAGTCTGAGTCTGAGTCTAGGTCTGAGTCTGAGTCTGAGTCTGAGTCTGAGTCTGAGTCTGAGTCTGAGTCTGAGTTTGAGTCTGAGTTTGAGTCTGAGTCTGAGTTTGAGTCTGAGTTTGAGTCTGAGTCTGAGTTTGAGTCTGAGTCTGAGTCTGAGTCTGAGTCTGAGTCTGAGTCTGAGTCTGAGTCTGAGTCTGAGTCTGAGTCTGAGTCTGAGTCTGAGTCTGAGTCTGAGTCTGAGTCTGAGTTTGAGTCTGAGTTTGAGTCTGAGTCTGAGTCTGAGTCTGAGTCTGAGTCTGAGTCTGAGTCTGAGTCTGAGTCTAGGTCTGAGTCTGAGTCTGAGTCTGCAGACATTAGCCACTTTCACTCTGCAGACCTGGTTTTTGGTCGGTGTGAAAACCTGCACAGTGTTACACGTTTACTTCCTGTTTACTGTGTCGTCTCAGAGACAGAATCACAGTGTAATGGTGTGTATGTATGTAAGTGTGTGTGTGTCTGTGTGTGCGTGTGTGTGTGTGTCTGTGTGTCTTTGTGTGCTTTTGTGTGTGTTTGTATGAATGTATATGTATATATATTATTGTATAGGTGTGTGTGTGTGTGTGTGCGTGCGTGTGTGTGAGTGTGTGTATATATATATATATATGTATGTATGTGTGTATAAATGTATACATACAGTATGTGCTTGTGTGTGTGTGTGTATGAATGTGTATATATACTATTGTATAGGTGTGTGTGTGTGTGTGCGTGCGTGCGTGTGTGTGTGTGTGTGCGTGCGCGTGTGTGTGTTTGTGTGTTTGTACGAATGTATATTTTTCTATATAAATTATTGGATTTAAACTCTTGTGTGAACAGTTTTGCAGTTTTTGTAAAATGAGGTATTTTTAAACCTTTTGTACGTGTTATTATTGAACACACTTGACTCTGTACTACACACCACATGTGTCACTGTCAACACAACACAACACTGCTACACAACATTGCACTGTATCCACTGTACATTTTGCTGCTACTTTGATTTTGTTACGACAAATAAAGATATTTACATAATTCATGATGATTGTGTGGAACTCTTTCTCTCCACTGTGTTTCCGGACCACTTCACTCATCCCCCCTTATGTGTGTGTGTGCGTGTGTGTGTGTGTGTGTGTGTGTCGGTGTATGTGTGTGTGTGTGTGTGTGTGTGTCTGTGTGTGTGTGTCTCTGTGTGTGTGTGTGTGTGTCTCTCTGTGTGTGTGTGTGTGTGTCTCTGTGTGTGTGTGTGTGTGTCTCTCTGTGTGTGTGTGTGTGTCTCTGTGTGTCTCTGTGTGTGTGTCTCTCGTCACTGGTGCAGAAGAAGCCTGTTCTATAACCATATATTGACTCTACACACATGCAGCTGGTCTCACTGTGAAATTCTGAAAACCAGATCAATGTGTGTGTGTGTCTGTACGTGTGTGTGTGTGTGTGTGTGTGTATGTGTGCACTTGTTTTCAACTCCTGGTGGGTTCCATAACCTGAGATTCCACTCACGTCATGGGGACTGGTTTTACGTGGTGGGGCCCGAACACCGGACCCCACTGGTCCAAGCTTAATAATCAATGGGTAATGCTTTTCTAACGGTCCTTATGCAGTCTCTGTAAAAATATGGAAAGGACCCCTGGAGGTTTACTTTCCTGAAAAAAGTGTGTTATGTGTCGGAACCCTGGTGGTGGGTTGCGGGATATCAAGGAGGGGCACACTGGGGCAATTTCAGTCCAGCAGGCTGGAGCCAATCATGGAGCAGCACAACAGAGGAAATCAGGTGTCAGGCTAGAAAAAGGTGCAAGTGTGTGGTTCATTAGGCTGCAAGAAATCATGGAGGAGCACACTGAAGCGCACGCTTACAAACCACTGGTAAGTGCTGACTACAAGTCATGACTTCAAATTGTTATATAGAATGATTACAAATTATTTGTTGTTTGTGCAGCTTAGTCAAGAGTCCCTAATTGATGAAGTCGACTCAGATTCTGACGATTTAACTGTCAAGAAGAAACCTGTAAAAAAGTATGGAAAAAGAAAAATCAAAAACACTTTTCTTCAAGACTCGGAAAGTGACGAACCAAAGGCAAATAAGATTGTTATCATGCAGCTGCAAAAGAAGAAAAATGGGGGGCGAGTATACAGCAAGAGACACTTCTGCCTCTACTGTTCAATGTCCTGCCACAAAATGTCCCGTCATTTGACTAGAAAACATGGAAATGAAAGTGACGTAGCCAGAGCATTGGCTCTACCTGTGAAATCTAAAGCACGTAAACTTCAGTTTGATTTGATCAGGAATAGTGGAAACCGTGAGCACAATTTTGAGGTTTTAAAGGCCGGCATTGGAACTTTAGTCCCAGCTAAACAGCCAAATTCCCCAGTTAAATCCAGTGAGTTTTTGCACTGTATAGACTGTGGGGCATTGCTTAAGCGAAAGTCGCTGTGGAGGCATGTGGCCAGGTGCCGGCTTTCACAGAAAGATGCCCAGGCTAAACCAGGTAGAAGTAGGGTCCCAGTCCCTCTGCTCCCTAGCCCAGCCTGTACCGGAGGGCATCAGCAAAAAGCTGTGGTCTTTAATTTCGGCAATGCATCAGGATGAGGTCACGGGTGTTGTCAAAGCAGAAAAGGGGATTCTGAGACTCGGAGAGCACCTGTACTTAAAACACGGGCATGATAAGACTAAGCATGATTACATTAGGCAGAAAATGAGAGAAGTCGGTAGGTTAATTAACGAAGCAAAAACCGCAGGGAAACTGAAAACAATTAAGGATTTCTTTATTCCTTCCAACTTTAACCATGTGATTGATGCAGTCAGGTCTGTGGCTGGATATGATGAGGAAACAAATCAATACAAGACTCCATCCTTGGCCCTCAAACTCGGCCATAGCCTCAGAAAGCTAGCAGATATTCTTGAATGTGACTCAAAAATGGAGCATTGTGTTGATGAACTATTTATTAAAAACCTCCAACGAAGCCGGCTGCTTTTTGAGAAGAGGTGGGACGTCTGTGTTTCTTCTGCTGCCCTACAGACCCTCCGGCAAGCCAAGTGGAACACTCCGGACCTGCTCCCTCTGACTGAGGACGTTAGAGCCATGCATGCACATATTGAGGTATGTCGACCTGAATATGTGCAAACCCTAATAAGTGAGCCAACGTCTAAGCATTGGTCTAAACTGGCAGTTTTGACTCTTTGTGAGGTCATCATTTTCAATCGAAGAAGGGAAGGTGAGGTTTCAAAGATGCCACTGACAGCCTTTACCTTAAGAAGTAAGACTGGGATCCATTCTGACATTGCTCTGGGACTGTCCCAACTTGAGAAAAAGCTGTGTCAGCATTTTCAACGCATTGAAATTAAAGGGAAAAGAAGTCGGAAAGTGCCGGTTCTTTTGACTCCTGAAATGATTGCTTCGATGGAGGTGCTGGTGGAGAACAGAAGGGCCTGTTCCATCTCTGACCATAACCCATACTTCTTTTCCCGCCCGGGCGCAGACACCCACATCAGGGGATCAGACTCCCTACGCCAGGTAGCCAAAGAATGTGGTGCGGTGCATCCAGAGATGCTATCCTCAACCAAACTTAGAAAGCACATAGCTACTATGTCTACAGTTCTCAATATGAAAGAGAATGAGATGGACATACTTGCCAACTTCCTCGGCCATGACATTCGCATCCACAGGCAATATTACAGACTACCAGAGGGGACACTGGAGCTGGCCAAAATCAGCAAAGTGTTGATGGCCATGGAGCAGGGAAGAGTGACGGAATTCGAAGGAAAGAGTAAGTAAGTAAGTAAGTTTTTATTTATATACCGCCTTTTCACTGCAGATCTGAGTCTCAAAGCGGTTTACAATTGTTAATTATGGGCATTTGTCTCTCACTCCACACAGAGATGGGAGCGGGGTCGCCAGTACAGGAGGCGCATGCCAGAACTATTGGACATATTTTTAGTGGTAGGGGAAACCGGAGTACCCGGAGGAAACCTACGCAGACACGGGGAGAACATGCAAACTCCACTCAGAAAGGCCCTGGTCCGACCGGGAAAGAGCCTCGACCAGATACAAATTGAGCCTGAAGGTAATTCTTGATATTATTAAAAAATGTATGATTTTTTTCCCCTAAAGGCCACTTGTATTTTTATTTTCTGTGCGACAGGGAGAGCAGTAGAGATCCTCTCACAAACGGACGGGCTAAAAGAAACTTCAAGCGGAGAACCTTCAACCATTCATCCAGATGCACCCCATGGTAGTGGCAGTGCCCCTTCTGGTAAGTGTACCAGGTGGGGGATTACAGCCAGGCTGCTTGGTCCTAACCCTGGGAGTGTATATTGCTAATATATTTTTATTTCTCTCCCTAGAACGTGTAAGAAAGCCATGGTCTGCATCTGAGGTGAAGGCTGTGGAGAAGACCATGACACCTTTCATACAGACTGGAAAGGTCCCTGGGAAGTCTCACTGCCTGGCCTGCATTAATGCCTCACCAGATGACCTTAGACATCGGACATGGAGTGGCATTAAATTCTATGTCAAAAATAGAATCACTGCAATTCGAAAACAAAATCTAAAATAAAATTCCTTTAAAATAGTTGTTTGGTTTCTATTGACTGTTTTGTATTACTTAAAGTAGTCCCAGTAAAAAAAGATTATGTCTTTGGGTCCCATTCTGAACGGCCCTGTCAAAGGGACCCACCAGGTAACAAAAACGTGTATGTGTGTGTGTGTGTGTGTGTGTCTGTACGTGTGTGTGTGTCTGTGTGTGTGTGTGTGTGTGTGTGTCTGTACGTGTGTGTGTGTGTATGTGTGCGTGTGTGTGTGTGTGTGTGTGTCTACGTCTGTGTGCGTGTGTCTGTGTGTGTGTCTGTACCATAGACTGCATGTGTGTGTCTGGACGTATGTGTGTGTCTGTACGTGTGTGTGTGTCTGTGTGTGTGTGTGTCTGTGTGTGTGTCTGTACGTATGTGTGTGTCTGTACCTGTGTGTGTGTGTGTGTGTGTGTGTGTGTGTGTGTGTGTGTGTGTGTGTGTGTGATCCAGCTCATCTGGGGGAATCCTGAGGCATTCCCGGCAGAGACACTATGTCCTGGGTCTTCCCCTGGTCTCTTCTCGGTGGGACATGTCGAGAACACCTCCCCAGTCAGGCGTCCAGGAGGCATCCCAAACAGCTCCTCTCCATGTGGAGGAGAAGCGGCTCTACTCCAAGCTCCTCCTGTGTGACTGAGCTCCTCTTTCTCTCAGGGAGCTTCACTCTGGAGGAAACTCATGTGGACCGCTTGTAGTTGCAATCCTGTCCCTTTTGATCATTACAGAGGGGAGAGCTCTGACTGCAGACACTGCTCCCTCTGCACCACAACAGCCTGAAAGAGCTCTGATTGCCGACTCTGCTCCCTCACTTGATTGTAAACAAAATGACAGATATATAAATAATATATTAGTTGAGTTGAATTGATTACTTTGCTCAAGCCTTTCTATAAATATCAGATTTTTTTCATGTTTTATTTATTGTAAAAAAGATAAATGTATGTTGTTTTTTCAACATAGTCTGGAAAAATGAATATATGTCTTTATCTTTGAAGTAACAGTTTTCAAAAGCGTGTGAAACCTCTGCACTCCGCCAGAGGGCGCACTCACTGCAGCAGACGTGCGTGGATCATTATTTTGGACTGTTTTAATGATTGAACTGTGACTATACATAGTTCCCACAGACCAATGAATGTCACATGACCTCCTCGGAGACGCCATCTTTGATGGCACGCTGCTGTGTTTGTGCATTCCATTAAACAGAAGAATGAGAATAAATGTAGATATTCAAACGCAAATTGGAAAAAAAGGGCAACTTTTGAGCAAATAATTGTATATTAATACAATGGCACCACAGTTTAACGTGCTACGGCCATGTTTTACATATTTGATCAAATTATGCAGCAAAAATTAACAAGCAATGCAAACATTTCTCAAAAACTTTAGATTTAATACCAGTTGGAGCTCCATTTAATTATTTTAATTATATTAACAATTAATTTAATTAATGCTAATGCCACACGGACACTCTGGATTGCTGTTATTGTTTATTTCCGCGTTTTTGACCGTATGTTTTGGTGAATGGTGGGCAACTGATTTTTCCAGGCGTAAAGAGCAGTTTATTTTATGACACAGATCTTTTTACAGAAGCAATGCTGTTTGTGAACATTGTTTTAGCCCACCATAGAACTATTATTATCTATTTAATACATTTACGTTGCCCTCGAGAGCCTCGGACGCGACACTGATCCTCCTCATAATAAAGTAATCTAAATAATGAAACTCTCAAGTTACCAGCTATCAGCATACACAAGTTAGTACTGAGTAAATTACGTCTGTCAACACATTATGAGATACGATACGCACCTGACACAAAGTGCTCCGAGCATATTCTTGCGTGTTTTGAGGGAGTTTCTTGCCTGTTTATCTTCGCAAGCCATAACCTCCGTCGTTGTTCTGACAAAAGCTTAGTCTTCTCACATTCATGAAGTCTAATGATGGGTATACTGTAAAATCCAAGTTTAACGGAACCTCCGGCACGATTTGAACATCCATTGACCCAGCAGGAGATGACCATTTTCAACTTTATCACGACATTAACACGTTTCAGCTTCTTTTTCAATTGTTTTGCCCACAGAATGCCAAGACAAATGGCGCCGGGTCGGCAAATCCCCGTATGTAGTGACGTCATGTGGGAACTATGTATAGACGTATGGAGAGCGTGATGACGTGACAGTGACTGAAGGTGGAAACACAAAGATAATAAATACATAAACTCTTGTAGACTCTGTTCTCTGTGTTAAGGCGATTAATCGGTTGGTTTTGCAACTTTCACTTAGATGAGAAACAGAAGATGATTTACTCTGATCCTTGAGAGAAACTATATGTAGTAGGAGGAGGAGTAGTAATAGTATTAGTAGTAGTAGCAGTAGAAGCAGGATAATAGTGGCAGAAGTAGTAACAATAGCAGTAATTGAAGCAGTAGTAGAAGTAATAGTAGTAAGAGTTGTAGAAGGCATTGTAAAAGAAGTTGTAGTAGTAATAGGAGTGGTAGGACTAGTAATAGCTCCATACAAAAACATTGCCAGGATCAAAAACATAGTGTCTAAAGCAGACTTGGAGATTCTTATCCATGCATTTGTCTCCAGTAGGTTAGACTACTGCAATGGCCTGCTCACAGGTCTGTCCAAACAGGCTGTAAAACAGCTGCAGTACATTCAAAATGCAGCAGCTCGAGTCCTGACTAGAACCAGGAAGTACGACCAAATTAGTCCAGTTCTCAGGTCTCTGCACTGGCTTCCTGTGGCTCAGAGAATAGACTTTAAAACAGCTCTGCTTGTGTACAAGTCTCTCCATGGCCTCGCACCAAAATATATTAGTGACATGTTAGTCCCATATGAACCAGCCCGGACTCTGAGGAGCACAGGGACTGGACTCCTGTTAGTGCCCAGAGTCAGAACTAAACATGGGGAGGCTGCTTTTCAGATTCAGGCTGCTAAAATCTGGAACAGTCTTCCTGAAGATGTGAGACAGGCCTCCTCTCTGACAATGTTTAATACCAGGTTAAAAACAGTCCTGTTTAGCTGTGCATACAACTGAGGGATTTTATATTTTTATCTTTCTTTTTAATGTTCTGTGATTATTTATGATTTTAATGCTTTCTTATTTTGTTCAGCACTTTGAGTTGCCTTGTGTATGAATTGTGCTATACAAATAAACTTGCCTTGCCTTACCTTGCCCTAATAGTAGTAGTACTAGTAGTAGGAGTAGTAGTTGTAGGAGTAGTAGTAGGAGTAGTAGAAGTAGGAGTAGTAGGAGTTGTATTAGTAGTGCCTCTCTCTCTCTCTCTCTCTCTCTCTCTCTCTCTCTCTCTCTCTAGCAGTGTTGTTCTCCAGGAGATGTCTTCCAGTAGGTGTAGAGACTCGTACGTGCACAGTTGGAGACCACTACAGTAACTTTGGTGTGTGTGTACCTGCCGTGCACTGGAGCACAGAGGGTCCTGATGATGGACCCTCTGTGTGAATGCATCAGGGACTGCACAGACTCTGGGGACGTCCTGTTCGTGGCCGGGGACTGAAACTGTACAGTAGAACCACAGCAGGACAGGAACCACTGTGAGCCCCACCCGGCCTCTTCCCTCAGGCTGAGGCGGCTGCTGGAGGCCCACAGTCTGGAGGACGTGTGGAGGACTTTGCAGGACTTTCCGTGAGTACACTTGGTCCCACTGTAAGGACAATGCTCTGTCTCTGGCCCGTTTGGACCGAGTGTATGTTCCGGGACACCAGCTGAGCATGTGCACTGCGGCTCACATCAGTCCTGTGGGCATCTCTCACCACAGTTTTATTGTTTGTGTAATTCGGGTGTCTAATGTGTGGGTGGGGAGTGCTTACTGGCACTTTTACAATTCATTGCTTTTGGATAAAATGTTTGTTTGTGCTTTTAAAGTGTTTTGGGAGTCCCACCAGCGGTGTAAGGCCCACTTTGTGAGCCTGCAGTGATGGTGGGACTATGGGAAAGTGCAGATAAGGCAGCTATGTCAGGAGTACACTCATGGTGTCACAAGAGACAGGGCCCGGCTTGTGAAGGAGCTGGAGACTACAGTGGTAGAACTGCAGCGTTTAGCAGTTTCTACAGGAGAACGGGGGTGTTTACAGTCCCTCAAAGCACAAAAGTCGGCCTTGGCCAGCCTGCTGGGCACCGCTGCACAGGGGGCTCTGGTCCGGTCCCGCCACATGGATCTGACCCAGATGGATGTACTCTCTCAGTTCTTTTTCAGTCTGGAGGTAAAGAACGGGCAGAAGAGGATCATCCAGTCTCTGCGCTCGGACATCGGTCGCCTCATCACAGACTCTGCAGAGGTCAGGAGTTTTGCCGCGGGCTTTTATGAACATTTGTTTAGCTCTGAGCTGCGTCCCGGGTCTGTTATGGGAGGCCGGTTTGGGGACGTTCTGCCTCAGGTCAGTGATGAGGACAATAAGAAACTGGAGGCCCCACTGACTCTGGCTGAACTGGGCTCTGCAGTGGGGAGTCTAAAACCAGGCAGAGCTCCGGGCATAGACGGACTTTTGGCCGATTTTTAGAAGGCCTTCTGGGACTTCCTGGGGCCAGACCTTCTGGAGGTCTTTATGGACAGTCTGGAGAGCAGTCGTTTGCCCCTGAGCTGCAGAAGAGCAGTACTGACTTTGCTCCCAAAGAAGGGTAATCTGCAGGTGTCGCTGCTCTGCATGGACTACAAGATCCTGTCCAAGGTGAGAGGGGTCATGGCCTCGGTCATCCACGTGGACCAGACGTACTGTGTGCCCAGCAGGCTCATAGGGGATAACCACACCCTGATCAGAGATGTTTTGGAGGTCTCCGGCTCATTGGGAATCAACCTGGGACTGATTTCCATGGACCAGGAAAAGGCGTTTGACCGGGTTGAACACCAGTTCCTCTGGCAGACCATGACTGCCTTTGGGTTCAGCCCTGGGTTCATCGCCCACATCCGGACTGTGTATTGTGACATCATGAGTGTACTAAAGGTGAATGGGGGGCTCAGTGCTGGAGGTCCTGGCTGACAGTCCAGTCGCTGCCTCTCTGGAGGCTGCTTCAGGGAAGACCTTTTACAGCTTCATGGTCCAGGCCTTGAACCACCAGAGACTGTGTGACCGAGCAGACACTGTGTGGAGGTCACACCTGGGCACCGCCTTCAGCCCGGCCTGGGGGGCCCTGTACAAGCCCCCTCTGACCAAGAAACAGGGGGACCTGCAGTGGAGGCTGCTGCATGGGGCAATAGCAGTCAATGCCTTTGTGTGTAGGGTGAACAGGGCTGTGGGGGAGGGCTGTCCCTTCTGTGGGGAGAGGGAGACAGTGTTCCACTGCTTCTGGGAGTGTGGCAGGCTCAGGCACATGCTGGAGCTGCTGAGGGGCCTCTTCACTTCACTGGGGGCAGAGTTTAGTGCTCAGGTGTTTGTGGGGGGGTCAGGTACTCCAGCCGCAGCAGGAGGAGGGGGCGGCTGCTCAGTTTCCTCGTCGGTCAGGCCAAGATGGCCGTCTACGTGAGCAGGAGGAGGATGGTCCAGGACCAGGGTGAGATCAGTCCCAGGGCTCTGCTGGTCCGGATGGTCCAGGCCAGACTCAGGCTGGAGTTCGGTCTCTACAGGATAAATGGGGATCAGGAGGGGTTTGAGGAGCGCTGGGGGTTCAGGGAGGTGTGCTCTGTGAGGGACGGGGAGCTGTTTGTTTCTGCCTTTTTATCGTTGCAAACCTATGAATTGAAGTGTGTGAAGTGTTGCATTGTTTATTTATTGCCAGTATTTGCACTTTTTGCACTTTATGTCCGGATTTTTATGTGTCTTTTTTCTATACATTACAATGTGTAAAATATAATGTCATTTGACCTGTTTAATGGACAAATAAAGGTCTGTTAAAAATAAAAAAATCTCTCTCTCTCTCTCTCCCTCCTCCTCTCTCTCTCTCTCTCTCTCTCTGCCTCTCTCTCTCTCCCTCCTCCTCTCTTTCTCTCTCTCCCTACTCTCTCTCTCTCTGCCTCTCTCTCTCTGTCTCTCTCCCTCCTCCTCTCTCCCCCACTCCCCCTCTTTCTTCTTTCTCCTTGAGCTGAAGAAATGCCCCAAATAACTTTGTTGTTGTTTTAGAACTATTGTATGTGGCTCAAATAAATAAATACATCTTTTCTCTCTTCCTGTTTCTCCACTCTTTCTACCCCCACCCTTCCCCTCCCTTCTCTCCCCCCTTCTCCCCCCTCCACTCTTTCTCTCCCCTCCACTCCTTCTCTCCCTTTCTCCCCTGCCTCTCCCCTTCTGTCACTCCCCTCCCTATGCCCCCCTCCCTCTCTCTCCCCCCCTCCCCTCTGTAACTCCCCCTGCCTATTTCTCCCCCTCCATTCTGTCACTCCCTCTCCCCTCCCCTCTGACACTCCCCTCCCTCTCCCCTCCTCTCTGTCACTGCCCTCCCTCTCTCCCCTCTCCCCCTCCCCTGCCCCCTCCCCTCCCTCCCCTCCCTCTGTTGTAGCAGTGCACACGGAAGTCTCCTCGTGAGTCCGTGAGCAGCGACTGACGCCTGAGCACCGGGACCGCGGCTTCCACACACGGTGAGCGCGTGCACCTCAGACAGAACCAAGAAACCGAATAATAATAATAACAATAATGATGACAATAATAATCAAATAAATGTAAATAAGTGTTTTATTCAGACTTCTCCACGTTAGTCACATGTCGCTGATTCACGTGAGAGAAAGAATGACCGATGATCGCTGAGTTCAGTGACAGTTATGTGATCATAGAACGTGCTGTTTATGTGTTTGTTTTATACTTAAATGAGCAGAATGTGACGTCACAGCTGTTCTCAGGCCAGAAACAAGGAAATAGTGTCAAAGTGTGTTTTTGAAAGCGCATGTGTCTCTGCTCTGCGGTCGGAGCGGCGCCTGCGGGGTCCGTGACGTCACTCTGTAAAGTTTTTAAGTTCAAATCAATCATAGTTTTTGTTTTTGAGTAAGAAAAGTTTGAAGTCAGGTGCAGAGTCAGTCGCTCGGATCCTTTTGTAGTAAGTCAGAGTCTGGAGCGGGAATGTGGGGAGTTTGCATGTTCTCCCTGTGCCTGTGTTGGTTTTCTCCAGGGGCTCCGGTTTACCCTACCACTATAAACTGGTCTCTTTCTAACCTCTCTCTCTCGCTCTGGTCTCCCTGTGGTCTCTCTCTGCTCTCTCTTTCTGGTCTCTCTCTCTCTCTCTCTCTCTCTCTTTCTCTGCTCTCTCTCTGGTTCCTCTGGTCTCTCTCAGTCTGCACTCTCTCTCTTCTCTCTCCTCTCTCTCCCTGCTCTCTCTCCTCTCTCTCTCTGCTCTCTCTCCTCTCTCTCTCTGCTCTCTCTCCTCTCTCTCTTCTCTCTGCTCTCTCTCTCCTCTCTCTATCTCTTCTCTCTCTCTCCTCTCTCTCTCCTCTCTCTGCTCTCTCTCTATCTCTTCTCTCTCCCCCCTCTCTCTCTCTGCTCTCTCTCTCTCTCTCTCTCTCTTCTCTCTCGTCTCTTTGTCATTACTACATTTCCTGTGTTGTAACCATTTGATTCTCTAATCTGCTGTTGTCGAATCCACACCTCTGTAGAGTCCTCCCAGACGCCTGCTGCTCTGTGTAGAACAGGGGTCTCCAACCTATAGCTCGCGAGCTACCGGTAGCTCGCGGCCCCATTTTGGGTAGCTCGCGCAAGGTTATCCATTATTTTCCTAAATTTAGCATGAGAGAAAAAATAAAAAAAACATTCGCATTTTTCGTTGATTTGGCCTATCATATTATCATATCCGTTGGTGTGTCCCGCCTCATTTACATAAATAACATATTATTTGTCTGTAAGCTGTCAATCAAAGGATCGCGCGTTTCAGTCAAACTGATACCCAGCGTTTGTTTCGTGCACGGGCCTTGACAGCGTTGATGCGGCACCATGAGCTCTGCTAAGAGGAGGAAAACGTACGCTTTTCACGAGGAGTGGGAAACGGACTTTTTATTCACAAATGTCAACGATAAATGCGTTTGTCTGATCTGTGGGTTCAGTGTGGCTGTTGGTAAACGATGCAACGTTCAGCGCCATTTCGTCTCAGTCCACGGTAACTTTTCACACGAGTTTCCCACGGGGAGCAACCTACGAAAAGAAAAGGTGAAGGAGCTCAAATCAGCGCTTCAGAGACAGCAATCTTTATTCACCAAGACAACAAAAAAGAGTTGTGCGGCCACGGAGGCGTCATTCAAAGTGGCACACTTACTAGCAAAACACAAAAAGCCCTTTACGGATGGAGCCATTGTGAAGGATGCTATGACTGCGGTGGCTGAAACTTTATTTGATGATCACAAAAGTAAGACAGAGATTCTTTCCGCTATTTCTGATGTGCAACTTGGGGCAAATACAGTGGCCCGGAGAGTTACTGCGCTGTCACAGGATGCCACAAAACACTGGATATGGACATTGAGAGAAGTCAATGGTTTTCCCTTCAGTGTGACGAGTCGGTGGACGCGAGTGACACCGCGCAGCTGGCTCTTTTCGTGCGTATGGTGTTTGAGGACTTCTCCACCAAAGAGGAGTTTTTGACCTTGCTTCCACTAAAAACCTCCACCAGGGGAATAGACATCTACAACGTCGTAAAAGGATATGTGGTGGATAAAAAGTTCCCTATTAGAAAGCTGGTGTCCATAACGAGTGATGGAGCCCCTGCTATGACTGGCCGCCACAACGGATTTATTGCGCATTGCAAAGCGGACCCGGACTTTCCCAAGTTTTTGAACTACCACTGTATTATACATCAACAAGCCATATGTGCAAAGGTTCTGGATTTTGACCATGTTATGGGACCTGTTGTCAAGATAATCAACTCCATTCGACCAAAGGCAAAGCAACATCGGAGCTTCAAATTGTTCCTGGAGGAATGCGCCGCGGATCACGGGGATCTTCTCCTTCATACGGACATCAGGTGGTTAAGTCGCGGTAAGATATTGCAACGCTTTATTTCTTTGCTGGATGAAATCAAGACTTTTGTGGCGGCAAGGGGGGAAGATATTACGTTGTTAAATAATACGGAGTGGCTTCTTGATCTTGCATTTCTGACTGATGTAACAGATAAAATTAACCAACTGAACACACAGTTACAAGGCAGAGATAAACATGTGTCAGACATGATCAGTGCTGTGAGAGCATTCAGCGCTAAGCTCTCGTTGTACATCCAGCAGGTGAAAAACAAAAAGTTACAGCACTTTTCTTCTCTCTCAAACATGTGTGAAAATAATCCAGGGGCAGCCAGTGCTTTGAATGTGGACAAATATTGTGAGCTTTTGGCAAAACTTGGACAGGAGTTTGTTGACAGATTTGTTGACTTTGACAAACTTCAGCCTTGTGTGACATTTATGGCAAACCCCTTCATGGATGTGGACATAAGTGACATTTCTGGTCAGATGGCAGTACTTTTTGGTATTGATCCTGTAGAAATGGAAATGGAGGTGATTAACCTACAAAACAATGTGCAGCTCAAGTCTCAGCAGAGTTCAGGACATTTTTGGAGCCTTGTGGATACAAATGACTTTAAGAACCTTAATGAGGTTGCTTTGAAAGTGTCTGCTCTGTTTGGGTCCACTTATCTTTGCGAGTCAGCTTTTTCGGACATGAATGCAATCAAATCAAAGTACAGGACGAGATTGACTGATCAACACCTGAACGATTCCATCAGGGTGAATTTGAGTAGCTATACTCCACAATACTCCAGTCTTGTTGAGGCCATGCAGTGTCAGCCATCCCACTGAGTATGTTTCAGCTTGAGCTTTTTGTTAGAGTGAAGTTTACATGTACACACTTTGTTTTAATTGTGGCAATATCAAGTGTTCGTTATTTTGATAATAATATCGCATGTTTCTCACTTTGTGCATTTTCTCTAAACCATAACGGAAAAATAAATATTTCCGAGCATAAGTAGCTCACGCCTGATTTTTTAAATTAAAGTAGCTCACAGAGCACAAAAGGTTGGAGACCCCTGGTGTAGAAAGAAAGAGAGCACACAGGGGGAGAGCACACTTCCATCAGTGAAGAAACCCACAGAAACTGAGGGGCAAACCCTCAGTTTCTGTTCAGGAAGTGAGAAGGTGTGTCCCTCGTGTCTCTGCATGAAATCATAACAAACAAGTATCGACACGAGACGCCAAAAGTCACGACCAGTGTCTCCATGGCAACGGTGAGGACAGGAGTGTGGGAACAGATGGTTACAGATGGACAACGCTTAGGGAAGTGCTCATGGTGAAGTTTGGTTCCAACTAGACAATGGCCCTGTTTCCACCAGTGTCTACTCTACTCTACTCTACTCTATACTACCGTACTCTACTCTACTCTATACTACTGTACTCTACTCTGCTCTACTCTATACTACTGTACTCTACTCTACTCTACGCTATACTACTGTACTCTGCTCTACTCTATACTACCGTACTCTACTCTACTCTACTCTATACTACCGTACTCTACTCTACTCTTCTCTATACTACCCTACTCTACTCTACTCTACTCTACTCTATACTACCCTACTCTACTCTACTCTACTCTACTCTATACTACCCTACTCTACTCTACTCTACTCTACTCTACTCTAGGTCTGGGCGATATGGGCCTCAGCATGTATCACGATATGACGATATGATAATTTTAACAAAGCCTCATATAAAAGCTATAAAAAACTTAGCACTGATAATTTTAAACACACTTGCCTCAAAGTGCATTTACTGATTTATTGGCAGCAAAATGTGTAATACAGCTATTGTATATAAAACGTATTAACAAAACTGAATTGTAGAGAATTCTGTTTTGTACATACTGAAAATTGCAGGCAACATGTAATAAAGGTGAACATTTGTAATTTGTAAAATATATAAAAGTTTGTCCTTTGTAATATAAAAAGTGTAGCATTATCAAATAATTATTTGATCACTTTGGCTTATGTTTCCTAATCCCAATATAGTCAAAATGATCAAATACTGTATATATTTTTTGTATCCTTTTGCGTTTCTATAATTATGTAATTATAACTTATTTGTAATTATATTGCAATGTAGACAAACATATGCATTGAAGTAAAATGAATGACAGTAAACAGTAAATAAAGCTTACCAATGGCACTATGAGAGAGAGAGAGAGCGAGTGTCCGAAGCAAGCCACTCCAGTCCAGTTGTTGCAGCTGCTTTCACAACATTAGATCCACTGTCGATAGTTACACACAATTGCTTCTTTTTATCTAGTTCCCAAACTACTCCCATATGTTTGAGGTAGCTCCGCGTTTTGGCACAATGTCTTCTACAATCTGCATGTCTTCACCATGGTCTTCACCGCCGCCCTCAGCCATGTTTGCTCTCTGCTCTGTTGTTGTTGTCCCTGCACGCCGCTCTGCTACACGTGCCGCGCAGATGCGTCATCAAAGTGCGCTGCACACAAACGTGTCTTCCGCTTGCCGTTTTCAGTGTTAAATGATCGTTTTCACCGGTATAAGGCATTTTCTTATCATTTAATTTACTTATACCGGTATACCGGTACAAAAAAAATATCGCCCAACCCTACTCTACTCTATACTAACGTACTCTACTCTACTCTATACTACCGTACTCTAATCTACTCTACTCTATACTACTGTTCTCTACTCTACTCTACTCTACTCTATCTTCCTCTACTCTACTACTCTACTCTACTCTACTCTACTCTACTCTACTCTATCTTCCTCTACTCTACTACTCTACTCTACTCTACTCTATACAACCGTACCCTACTCTACCCTACTCTACTCTACTCTACTCTATCTTCCTCTACTCTACTACTCTACTCTACTCTACTCTACTACTCTACTCTACTCTACTCTATACTACCGTACTCTACCCTACTCTACTCTACTCTACTCTACTCTACTCTACTCTACTCTACCCTACTCTACTCTACTCTACTCTACCCTACTCTACTCTACTCTACTCTACTCTACTCTACTCTCCCCTGATTGGGAGTGTTTCCTCTGGTCCTGTGTAACCAGTACCAGGTCCTTCTTTAGTCCCTCTTGGTCCTGGTTCTATCCAGGCCGACTTGGTCTTAATATGTTCTAACTGACAGTGATTGGTCAGAGTGCTGCTGCAAGCCATGGTTCTGTGAGTAATGTGGTCCAAACAGTTTTATTCTCTGGGTTTTAGTCTCTGGGTTTAAGTCTCTTGGTTTTAGTCTCTGGACAGGACTGGTTTAAGTAAAGTCTTTCTAAGTGTGAACCCAGCTGCTGTAGTGATCCCAGTTCATCAGTGACACTTAATCTGGTGGAATGTGGGACTAGAACCCTCTGTTTTTGTCTCGGAGACTGTTTGTCAAGAGCCTTTCTAACAATAGGCTCCATGTCTGCGTCTCTTTACTCTGTGCTCTCTGTTTTACTCTCGGACTCAGACTCGGACTCAGACTCAGACTATTTGCCATTTCCACTAAAACCATATTGGAATACATTTCCCTAGTGTCCCCGCTGTGCACACGCCATGTGTGTGAATAAAACAGGCTAAAAAGTACAACTAAACCTCTCGCTGGACTCTCTTTGGTGTCTCTCTGACCTCTCTTTGATCTCTTTCTGGTCTCTCTCTGGTCTCCCTACCTGGTCTTTCTCTGGTCTACATCTAGTCTCTCTCTGTTCTCTCTGTTCCTTTTTTGGTCTCTTTGTCGTCTCTCTCTTGTTCACTCTCTGGTCTCTCTCTGGTCTTTCTCTGGCCTCTCTGCTCATCCTGGTCTCTCTCTGCTCTCTCTGGTCTCTCTCACTCTTCCTGGTCTCTCTCTGCTCTCTCTGGTCTCTCTCACTCTTCCTGGTCTCTCTCTGCTCTCTCTGGTCTCTCTCACTCTTCCTGGTCTCTCTCTGCTCTCTCTGGTCTCTCTCACTCTTCTCTCTCTCTCTCTGTCTCTCTCTCTGTGATGACACCAAACCACACAGTTACTGAACAAACAAGCAAACTTTCAATAATGCAGTGATGAAAGTATGGTTTCAGAGTAGAGCAGAGAAGAGCGAGGCTGGTGAGTTTTCCTAACGTCCTGGTGTGTGTTTTAGTCCCAGCTCAGGTCGTTAGAAAGAGTTAAACCCAGAAACTTCTGCGAGTGACTTGGGACGCTGTGATGTCACTGTTTACGGAGCCCCAATCTCCAACTCCACAAGTTTCCATTCATCCAACACTGACTTTATTATGTACCAGTCGTCTGCACTGTGTCCAGAAGAGAGACCCGCCCAGAGGAGAGAGACCTGCCCAGAGGAGAGAGACCCGCCCAGAGGAGAGAAAGGCACGCCCAGAGGAGTGAGAGACCCGCCCAGAGAAGAGAGAGGCACGCCCAGAGGAGAGGGAGCCCCGCAAAGAGGAGAAAGAGACACACCCAGAGGAGAGAGAGACACGCCCAGAGGAGAGGGAGACCCGCCCAGAGGAGAGAGTGACCCATCCAGAAGAGAAAGACCCGCCCAGAGGAGAGAAAGGCAGCCTGCTAGTGCCGTTTCTCTCTGGTCTCTCTCTGGTCACCCACTGGTCTGTCTCTGGTCTCTTGCTGGTCTCACTGTGGTCTCCCTCTGGTGTCTCTCTCTCTGGTCTCTTTCTGAGTTCTCCCTGGTATCTCTCTCTCTGGTCTCCCTCTCTGGTCTCCCACTAGTATCTCTCTGGTCTCTTTCAGGTCTCTCCATAGTCTCTGTCTGGTTTCCCTCTGGTCTCTCTCTGGTCCATCAGTTTGGTCTCTCTCTGGTCTCGCCATGGTCTTTATCTGGTCTCTCTCCTTTGGCCTCACTGTTGTCTCTCTCTCTCAGTTCTCTCCATGGTCTCTCTCTTTAACTCACGTGATTCTCATTCCTTGTGTGATGGTTTCAGTCTTGTTTTGTTCAGCACCAGGAGTTGCTCTGTGTATGAACTGTGCTATACAGATAAACTTTCCTTCATGGTAGTTTTGCCTCATGGTGTCAGCTCCGCTAGTCCTGTTCCATGTCAACACCAGGCTTCCTGCTCAGAGTCAAAGGTCACACACTCTCACACTGAACAGATCTCTCTGCTCTGGTTCAGGACCAACTCAAATACTACCCAATGACAATTCAGATTCATTCATTTGACATTTGCAGTAAAACCCCATTGGAATACACTCGCAACAGGGTACTAGGTTAAAAGGTTGAGGGAGACCAGAGAAAGACTAGAGGGAGATACCAGAGAGAGACCAGAGAAGGACCAGAGAGAGGGACCAGAGAGGGACCAGAGAGGGACCAGAGAGGGACCAGAGAGGGACCAGAGAGGGACCAGAGAGGGACCAGAGAGAGACCAGAGAGAGACCAGAGAGGGACCAGAGAGAGAACAGAAAGAGACCAGAGAGAGACCAGAGAGAGAGACCAGAGAAAGACTAGAGGGAGAGACCAGAGAGACCAGAGAGAGACCAAAGAGAGACCAGTGAGAGACCAGAGAAAGACTAGAGGGAGAGACCAGAGAGAGACCAGAGAGAGACCAGAGAGAGACCAGAGAGAGACCAGAGAGAGACCAGAGAGAGACCAGAGAGAGACCAGAGAGAGACCAGAGAGAGACCAGAGAGAGACCAGAGAGGGACCAGAGAGAGAGACCAGAGAAAGACTAGAGGGAAAGACCAGAGAGAGAGACCAGAGAGAGAGACCAGAGAAAGACTAGAGGGAAAGACCAGAGAGAGAGACCAGAGAGAGAGACCAGAGAGCGACCAGACAGAGACCAGAGAGAGAACAGAGAGAGACCAGAGAAAGTAGAGAGAGACCACAAATACTAGAGGGAGAGAGACCAGAGAGAAGGGATGACCATTGTCCAGAAATGAATAATTAACAGCAGAAGAACAGATCATGTGACAGTTGGATTAAGACTATGGACGTCTTCAGTAGTCCATGGTTGTGTGGCTGCAATGAGGGTTTTAAACTATACAAAGACTATTGTGATGAGTCAGAGGACCAGGTGGGACAATTTCTCAAACAAACGCTTTTCTCAGCGTCGAGTTGTAGTGTCCTCTCTGTATTTATATTTATGAGTGAACATTGACAATAGGCTGACGTGATCCCTTTGTAGTACTGCAGTGTAAAAGCTGTTTTAAACTCTCTGGTCTCTCTGATCTCTCTCTGATCTCTCTCTGCTCTCTCTCTGCTCTCTCTCTGGTCTCTCTCTGCTCTCTCTCTGGTCTCTCTCTCTCTCTGGTCTCTCTCTGGTCTCGCTCTGGTCTCTCTCTGGTCTCTCTCTGGTCTTTCTCTGGCCTCTCTCTGGTCTCTCTCTGGTCTTTCTCTGGTCTCTCTCTGGTCTCTCTCTGGTCTCTCTCTGGTCTCTCTCTGGTCTTTCTCTGGTCTCGCTCTGGTCTCTCTCTGGTCTCTCTCTGGTCTTTCTCTGGCGTCTCTCTGATCTCTCTCTGGTCTCTCTCTGGTCTTTCTCTGGTCTTTCTCTGGCGTCTCTCTGATCTCTCTCTGGTCTCTCTCTGGTCTCTCTCTCTCTCTCTCTCTGGTCTCTCTCTGGTCTCTCTCTGGTCTCTCTCTGGTCTCTCTCTGGTCTCGCTCTGGTCTCTCTCTGGTCTCTCTCTGGTCTTTCTCTGGCCTCTCTCTGGTCTCTCTCTGGTCTTTCTCTGGCTTCTTCTCTCTGGCGTCTCTCTGGTCTCTCTCTGGTCTCTCTCTGGTCTCTCTCTGGTCTCTCTCTCTCTCTGGTCTCTCTCTGGTCTCTCTCTGGTCTCTCTCTGGTCTCTCTCTGGTCTCTCTCTGGTCTCTCTCTGGTCTCTCTCTGGTCTCTCTCTGGTCTCTCTCTGGTCTCTCTCTGGTCTCTCTCTGGTCTCTCTCTGGTCTCTCTCTGGTCTCTCTCTGGTCTCTCTCTGGTCTCTCTCTGGTCTCTCTCTGGTCTCTCTCTGGTCTTCTCTCTGGTCCTCTCTCTGGCTCTCTCTGGTCTTCTCTCTTGGTCTCTCTCTGGTCTCTCTCTGGTCTCTCTCTGGTCTCTCTCTGGTCTCTCTCTGGTCTCTCTCTGGTCTCTCTCTGGTCTTTCTCTGGCCTCTCTCTGGCGTCTCTCTGGTCTTTCTCTTGTCTCTCTCTTGTCTCTCTGGTCTCTCTCTGGTCTCTCTCTGGTCTCTCTCTGGTCTCTCTCTGGTCTCTCTCTGGTCTCTCTCTGGTCTCTCTCTGGTCTTTCTCTGGCTTCTCTCTGGCGTCTCTCTGGTCTCTCTCTGGTCTCTCTCTGGTCTCTCTCTGGTCTCTCTCTCTCTGGTCTCTCTGGTCTCTCTCTGGTCTCTCTCTGGTCTCTCTCTGGTCTCTCTCTGGTCTCTCTCTGGTCTCTCTCTGGTCTCTCTCTGGTCTCTCTCTGGTCCTCTGGCTCTCTCTCTGGTCTCTCTCTGGTCTCTCTCTGGTCTCTCTCTGGTCTCTCTCTGGTCTCTCTCTGGCGTCTCTCTGGTCTCTCTCTGGTCTCTCTCTGGTCTCTCTCTGGTCTCTCTCTGGTCTCTCTCTGGTCTCTCTCTGGTCTCTCTCTGGTCTCTCTCTGGTCTCTCTCTGGTCTCTCTCTGGTCTCTCTCTGGTCTCTCTCTGGTCTCTCTCTGGTCTCTCTCTGGTCTCTCTCTGGTCTCTCTCTGGTCTCTCTCTGGTCTCTCTCTGGTCTCTCTCTGGTCTCTCTCTGGTCTCTCTCTGGTCTCTCTCTGGTCTCTCTCTGGTCTCTCTCTGGTCTCTCTCTGGTCTCTCTCTGGTCTCTCTCTGGTCTCTCTCTGGTCTCTCTCTGGTCTCTCTCTGGTCTCTCTCTGGTCTCTCTCTGGTCTCTCTCTGGTCTCTCTGGTCTCTCTCTGGTCTCTCTCTGGTCTCTCTCTGGTCTCTCTCTGGTCTCTCTCTGGTCTCTCTCTGGTCTCTCTCTGGTCTCTCTCTGGTCTCTCTCTGGTCTCTCTCTGGTCTCTCTCTGGTCTCTCTCTCTGGTCTCTCTCTGGTCTCTCTCTGGTCTCTCTCTGGTCTCTCTCTCTGGCTCTCTCTCTGGTCTCTCTCTGGTCTCTCTCTGGTCTCTCTCTGGTCTCTCTCTCTCTGGTCTCTCTCTGGTCTCTCTCTGGTCTCTCTCTGGTCTCTCTCTGGTCTCTCTCTGGTCTCTCTCTGGTCTCTCTCTGGTCTCTCTCTGGTCTCTCTCTGGTCTCTCTCTGGTCTCTCTCTGGTCTCTCTCTGGTCTCTCTCTCTGGTCTCTCTCTGGCGTCTCTCTGGTCTCTCTCTGGTCTCTCTCTGGTCTCTCTCTGGTCTCTCTCTGGTCTCTCTCTGGTTCTCTCTCTGGTCTCTCTCTGGCGTCTCTCTGGTCTCTCTCTGGTCTCTCTCTGGTCTCTCTCTGGTCTCTCTCTGGTCTCTCTCTGGTCTCTCTCTGGTCTCTCTCTGGTCTCTCTCTGGTCTCTCTCTGGTCTCTCTCTGGTCTTTCTCTGGCCTCTCTCTGGCGTCTCTCTGGTCTTTCTCTTGTCTCTCTCTGGTCTCTCTGGTCTCTCTCTGGTCTCTCTGGTCTCTTTCTGGTCTCTCTGGTCTTTCTCTTGTCTCTCTCTGGTCTCTCTGGTCTCTCTCTGGTCTCTCTCTGGTCTCTCCATGGTCTCTCTCTGGTCTCTTTCTGGTCTCTCTCTGGTCTCTCTCTGGTCTCTCTCTGGTCTCTCTCTGGTCTCTCTCTGGTCATGTCTGTATTTATACCTGACGTGATCCCTTTGGAGAAGCCAAAGTCCAATTCATAAACGTTGCTTTAAACTTGTCAACACGGACCAGCAGCAGCTGCTATTATTAGATTAGCTAACGTCCTGATATCCTCATGCTAACGTCACATGACTGAGTGTCTGCTGCGACTCCCCCTGACTCCTCCTGACTCCTCCTGACTCTTCCTAACTCCTCCTGACTCCTCCTAACTCCTCCTGATATTTTATATTTTTATATAGCACATTTCATAAACACGCAGTTTCCAAAGTGCTGCACAACATGCAAAATTGCAACAAATAAATAAATACACTCATTTATATAAGAAAATACATAAATAAATAAAATAAAATAAAAACACAGAGGACCACACGACTCACGCGGTGTTAAAAGCCAGAGAATAAAAGTGGGTCTTAAGACGTGACTTAAAACATTCCAACGAGGGAGCTGTTTTGACGTGGGGGGGCAGGGCGTTCCAGAGCTTTGGTCCATGCCACAGAGAAGGCCCTGTCCCCCCGGGTTTTAAGTCTCGTCTTAGGCACCACGAGCTGGAGCTGGCTCTCGGACCTCAGTGCGCGGGGCGGGTGGTAAATCTGGATGAGGTCCGAGATGTAAGGAGGGGCCAGTCCATTCAGAGCTTTAAAAACAAACAATAAAATCTTAAAATCAATTCTAAAATGAACAGGAAGCCAGTGCAAGGACGGGAGTGATGTGGTCGCGCTTTTTGGTTCCTGTTAAAAGCCGTGCCGCAAAGTTCTGGACTAACTGTAGCCGGTGAAGTGCCTTGTGTGAAATAC